ATTATTATTATTATTATTATTTTCACCTTTATGTTCAGTTTAGCTGTATGACATGATGCTTACAGTGTCTGAAAAGGCAGCTATTAGACCACTTCACCTGCTTGAAGGAGCTAGACCACACTGGAGGATATTTAAAACCTATAGTCATGGCTAATCAGACACAGAGATGTTTTGGGACCAGAGAAAATCGGTTTGACTGGTGTTTGCTGTGTGCTGGACTGCTGTATGCTAAGAAGCACTTTTGGCCATGCTAGCTCAAGAAGAGCTCTTCTAAAACTTACACAGGCCTGCTCTCAGTAGGATGGTAATAGCTTTGTGGCTGGGGAGCCAAAAATTGAATTTGGTGAGAGAGGAAGGTAGTCTAATCTCTGTGAGAGCCACAAGAAATGTTGAAAGCAAAGGAACTCCCCTAAGCTGCAGTGAAGGAGTGGTGGAATAGCTTGTCAACCTGAAGGAAAGTGGAGTTGTCACCCTGTACTTGACCATTTAACTGGTAAATATCAAGAAGTCCTATTTAGCAGCAAAGGAAACAGGGAAGTCATTTGAGTTTCCTCATAAGGTTGCAGTCAGGTTAATACTCTGCTACTGTACTAGTTATCCTAAAATATTAACAGTGAAGAAAACAGTTCTTTTTCCTCAAGAGTGAAAATGTTGTTTCTGTGCAGAGTATCAAGGTACATCAGAAATATGTTCAGCAATGAGCTGTGGTGTATGCACTCACTTTATTTGTGGTCAGCTCTATTGTGAGATATGGAATTTGGGGTTTTTTCTCCAGTTTTTGCTGACACTTGTGTGTCCACAGCGTGTTTGAACAAGGGGTTGATGGCTTAGAATTGTTATGTGGCCTCTGCTTTCAACAACCTCTCGAGCAGATTCATATTATTGGCTACCTTATGTGGAGACATGATTGTGGGTGTTCCTCCTGGTGATACAAGAGCAGCTGCTAGACTGCCTTTGTTCTAAACAAGCGCCTATGATCACATCCAAAAGCTGTCTTGCTGATAGAGAATATGAATAATGCTTAGAGCAGAGCACTGCTAGCATGAGGGGATCTAAAACTTGAGAGAGAAACCAAGTAAAAGTGCCAGAAGAAAGTTCTCAGTGAATGCAGAAATCACAGCCCTTCTGGTTGTAGGAAGCAGTTAAGTTTGGGCTGCTACATCAGTTGCTGCAGAGGAAAAAAGTGTATGTCTGTGTTTCTAAAAGTGGGATGGTTGAGAAAATTGCTGTTTGGAGAATATAACTCATTTTTTGTTGTTGTTTTTTCAGTGCTTGGATCAAAGTGGAGCAGCTGAAGCCTTATCACCCTCACAAAGAGGAAATGATAAAGATTAACAAGGGTAAGCGCTTCCAGCAAGCTGTGGATGCTGTAGAGGAGTTCCTTAGAAAAACCAAAGGCAAGGACCAGGTGAGCGGGTTCTTTTTTACTATGTGCATCAAAACAAGTCCTGGCATGAATGATGGTCAGATGCATTTTTATGTGAAAGGAGTTTGTTGCCTCTGGCAAGTTGAGGAGGGGTTTGTTTTCATTCCTTTTTTTTTTTTTTTTTTTCCTCCCCCTATCCTCTCTTCTTTCCCATTCAGTCTTGTTTGGTAGGAAAAAAAGTGTTGTTAAACTGATGGAGAAACTGAAGAGGCTAATTGATCTGCTTATGATGATTTGATAAATCAGTCTTAAGTCTTGGGATAGAATTTGATTATCTACTAATCTTGTCTCTAGTATATTGGAAGTGCATATATGTGCATGCACTCGCAGCAAGTCTTCAAGTGGCCTGTTCTGTTACTGCTTACTTAAACTGATGTGTTTTTGCAGGAGAACTAACCAAGAACTTCACTCACCAACTTCAAAGGGCTAACAGATACTTAGTTTTCAAGTTACTGTGCTGTTGTTTTGCTTGATAGTAATCAGCACAGGGTCCATTGCATCCTTGGTTTTGCATGAAGATAATTCCAGCTCTTCTCTTCTTTCCTTACCATCTTCTATTCTGTAATCTCTCAGGCGTCTTCCCATAACTCCAATGAAGAGAAGAATCGGCGTAATTCCAGTGAAGAAAGAGGCAAGCAGTCTGCTGGTGAAGAGAAACGCAAAGCCAGTTTGTCTGAAGGGAAGTTGAAGAAGGGCACAGGGGAAGGAAAAAAGAGGGTCTCTTCTGTATCGTCAGAGAGAGGATCAAAATCACCTTTGAAAAGAGCCCAGGATCAGAGCCCTCGAAAGCGGGGGCGTCCACCAAAGGATGAGAAGGTTTGTGTTGTGCATGTCTGCCAGTGCCCTGTGGACTTTGCAGATGGACTCTAGGGTTGACTGGCACCTTGACTAACAGGCCAGCAGAAAGAGTCCATTTAGTATCAGATTTTTTTTTTAAGCTGTTCCATGTTACTACTTCTAGACCACTTGGCTGCCTGATACCTTTGGGAAGCATATTGTTGCTTCTTCCTGTAATTTTTACCAGTTAGTTATTTTGAGTAGCTCTATTCATATCTTTGAGAGGGGTTTGAGAGCTGTATCATGAGACTTCACATTTCATCTTGCCATCCTTCAAGTTTAGTTTGTGTGGGAAGGATTAGTGAAGAGATGTGGGTCTTCATCTGATTCCCGACTTCTCCCATCACATCTACTTTGTATGATTAAGTGATTAGTAGTCACTCAACTTCACCCTCGGTACTTACAGAGGGTGGAGTATTCTTAAGGGCTAGGGCTTAAAGAAGAAACTCTTGTAGCCTGGGGAATCTACCAGAAGAATTAGTTGTATTCATTTCAGCTTCTATGCTACAGGATATATTTCCATCCTCCATTATAAAGGTCCAACCTTGGAGCATTATTATTTTATCCCCATTACTTCCCTGTTATTTCTGGATGTTGTGGGAGCAACGATAGCCACCAATACTTTGTCTACCCTCATCTAGAGTTCCAGACTTTTATTTATTGTGGAACTCACTGTTGTGGTCCAGATCTTCCTTTTCCAAATGGATGATTATTTCAGTAGATTATTACAATGCACATGCTCCATCGGAGACATCACCTGAAGACCATTGGGAGACTTCAGCTGATATACCATGCGGCAGCCTGCTTGCTCGCTTGTGTTTCAAAGGGATCACGTTATGCTGTACTTCACAATCTTTGCTTTCAGTGCACTTCAGGATGCACATCAAGATGGTAGTCTTTGACCTCCAAAATTGTGAATGGATTGACCTTTGCTGGTTGAACAGCAAACTGTTTCTTGATGTAGTAAAATGAAGCTGATCATCTCAGATATTAGCTATGAAGGAAATACTGGCTGGTTTTTTTTTAGAGCCAGCTTCTGTTAAATCAAGCTGTACAACAGAGCCCATGAGTTTCTTCTTCTGGGGGGAGTTGGAGGAGGGGAGGAATGGATGCGTATTTGTGAATTCTTACTAATAATTACAGAACTTGTGACTTGACTGCTGGTAAAGTGTCTTCCTGCATCAACATATTCTGACCTTTCAAAGTGTCTTGCTATGAGCATGTTATATCTTCACATATTTCTGTTACAATAAGCCATGGGGCCTTTTTTTCCACTTGCAAAATGCTTTTGTGTCTTTGAGCTAGATTCATTGCAAAATTGATCAAAACTAATGGCTGGGAGAATTCTGATCGTGCTGACACATTGCGTGCTTAGGTTTTACTGTATTAGCTACCTCAGGGCATCAGAGTGCTTTGAGTGAGTTAATTGTGGTGGTAAAAATTATTTTACTGGAAAATTGCAAGCAGAGCGGTTTTAAACAGCTTATCACAAAGAGGTGGCCAGCTATATGATAAACGTCTGGCCACAGAGCATGAAAATATGCAGGCTAATGTAGGAAAGTAGCCTTATAGCTTCTGGAAAGTAATGTACTGACAATTAAAGAAATTGCCATGAAAATATAACAGTACTGCCTTCATACTATTTTTCAGCCTGTGAAATAATTTTAAAATCTTTTTGTCTTCTTGCCTGCTTCTCACAGTTTCCACAAATTCTTAGCCCTAGGGTAGAAAACATTTATGTCACTATTCCGAATTACTGCAGTGTTGGGATTTGGGGTTTTGGCCCCATCAGTCCAAATTCTAGCTTTCCAAGTAATAAGGATGCACAAAATCCAAAGATCCAGTTGTTGCTGAGGTGTGGTCTATCTAGAAATGCTCTGTAGGCATACATGATCATTCAAATACTCATTTTTAAGCTTATATGAATATTTTCAAGGGACCAACATGACTTCATAGGTATCACAGCAGGCTTCATCCGTGTTTTACCAGTTGAAACAGCAGCATGGTCTCTAAGGAGAGAATTTTAGTGTACAAGGCTCTCCCTAGACTGAAATGACCCTTTAAGGTTGGAGACTGATCTGAGTTGTCCCTGCTAACAGATGAAACAGTTGCATCAGTCTGGGTTACCTCCAGGAGTCTTGCTCTTACCTTTTTTGCAAACAGTGCACTTCTCTTGTGGTTCTGCGTGGACGCCAAGGTATATTGTGCATTTTCAGGAAGTACTTTTGGAGTGGAGACGATGTGGTTCCATCTCTGAACCCTCATTTCAGGAAGATAACACATACTATGCAGAAGCCCTGCTCGTTGTCTTCATATAGCATAAAGACCTATATGCCTATAGCATAAACACCTATTTTAACCTGCATATCTTGGGGAAATAAGAAAGATAAATTTTAATCTGCTCAACAGTAAAAAATCCAGTGTGTTAAGTATTATCATGACATTACAAATCAGGACATGTTGAGTGAATGGGGCAGTCCACATATCGGTTTCTGTCTCATGGATTCTGCAAACTTGAGCAGATGTGACTGTCAGCCTCATGCTTTGAAGGTTCTTCTGTTAACAGGTAGGCTACTGGGTTTTTTTATGACAGTGGAGGATTAGAAGAGTTCAGACCTCTGTCTGTAGTCATGTTCTTCACCCATTTGTTTAGTGTTTTGCATCCACCAGAGGAAGATGCTGGATCAAGTGTGTTCATTTGCTTCTCTGCTATTTGCATGATTACACAAGTGTAATGATTCCTCTTACATATGAAGAATGGATTCTCCAGAAGCCATAAGTGTGGTTTAATTCCTTTGTTGGCAGTTCATGTTTTCTTCACCTCACCTGTGTTGATAAAACACTGTGTTTTTAAATATGAACTCTTCATGGAAAGGCATGTAAAGTGGAAGGCATTTGTAGTGCTTTTCAAAACTCTGTATATGTGCTCGTATGATCAACATGCTGTGGCCACCCACTGAGCCAGGTTGTAAGCTCTTTATGATCCTCCTTCTATATTCTCAGGACCTCACAATTCCAGAGTCAAGTACAGTGAAGAGAGTGATGACTGGAACAGTGGCTGGATTTAAATGGCCGCCAGGTGTCAGTGAGGTGAGAAACTGTACAACATATGCGATCTAGGAACTGAGTTTGTGGAAACAAATCTAGAACCTGTTATCTGGGCTGTAAAATAGCGAGATACTCTCTTCCTCCTGTAGGAGCAAAATAAGATGCTCTCGTTCTGTCATTTTGTAGTGTAACAAAGCTAGACAATATCCTGGGCAGTTAAGAATTATGCTGGAAAATGAGTTTTCAGTCTTTGTGGAACCATTTGCAGATTCACACTTAACTTGCTGCACTCATTTTTGGACTTCGTGTTTCAAAAGTATTCCTGGGACTGGCTTCCCAAAACCAGAGATGTGGATAGTGTCTCCCTGCCTGAATACTATCATATGGGGTGGTTTAATTTGTTTTCCGTCATAAACAGCTTTTGGAAACCTTTCATTTTTGTGCATAAATAAGTAAGTGGTCAGTAAAGTGGAGTAAGAGCAGCGTGACTCTAGACTAGTGCGTATGATGCTCACCAGGGAGGTGAGATACATGGGCCTACAGTCCTTGTTGCTGTTAATATGGGTTTGCCTAGCATGTGACAGTGCTAGGTGTAATCTCCAGCCAATTCCCAGAATGCTGTTTTAAGGAGTTCCTTGGAAGCTGGAAAATAAGTGTTTTCATTCCCTTGGGAAGGGGAGGAAGCAGGATATGAGATCTCTTCCTCCCAAGCTAATCTTGCTCATAATCTTTGGTTTTCCTACAGATGTCCAAAAATGAGGAATTTGACTTGTATGGCTTTGGTTTTGAGAAGAAACACAATGTAAACTGCTTAATTGAAACAGGCTGCTTGAAAGAGCTGATACATTTTATATTTTCCACCTTAAGCTAGTGTTCTCATGTGGCTTGGGAGAACAAGAAAATTGTGCTGTGGTTGCTCAGTGACTCTCTGGGAATGTTTCTGAGCCTGTACTTTCTCTCTTTGTAGCCTGTGAAGGACAGTGATCCACACTTTCATCACTTCCTGCTGAGCCAGACAGAGAAGGTGAGGATTTGGCAGACAGGATCATTCTGCTGGTCCATCTAGCTTGGCATCCTGCCCTTTGTTGGGACTGAGTGCAAGGAGTATGTGTAAAGAGCTGTGAAATTCTGTTCTTTGGGGGCTAGCAGCAATTAGATTCTCCTGTGCAATCTTGTAGTTCAATTACTTTGTAACCTTAAGGTTTAGAATTACTTAGCATTGAGTACAGTGAATAGTTATTAAAATGAAAGTAATTAAAGATTATCTAGCACCAGGATTTGACAGATCTGTTGTAGTAAATTCTGTAGATTGAACACTGAGGGGTAGGAAAAGCTGTTTTTCTGTTTAAAAACCCTGTTTGATTGTCTTTGATGGTTGTCTTACCAGTTCCTTCATCTGGATGAACTTGTCAATCAAATGAATATGGCAGGAGAATTTCCAGGACCAGAAAAGCTCCGTGTAAAATATAGCCAGTTTATCTCCTGAGAGTCAGAAGCCTTGCAGGATTTTATCTTCAGCAGTGAACATCAGGAGGAAAAGGAAAGATCAAATTAAATGAAAAAGGATTTATATCTAGCTGAGGATCTGGGCAGAGCCAGATGGATTAAGAGCAGCTAACAGTTTTAATCTAGAAAAGCTCACAATAAGCACCATGGGAAGGAGCAACCTTCACCTTAACATTTGTTGAAAGCCATGTGCCTTCTCATATTAACATGGTTTTGCTTCCACAGCTGCATTGACATACTGAGCATAGACATGAGGCAAGGTGCTCTATGGCAGGCTTTAGACATCTCTGTTTTCTTTGGGCCAAATATGACAGTAGGGTTGCCCTGGATCCTTACCTCTAGAGGAGCCTGTCATATGAACTACAGAAAGGAGTTTGTAGTACCTGTATCAAAAGACAGGCTGAACTGCCGGAGCAGGGTGGGAAAGGAAGAGCTTAGTATGTTGCAATAGGTTTTTGGTTTTATTTTTTCCCATTGAGGGAAGCCTGAGAGTTCTCCTGCTTTGCAGATGGTAGTGGGTGGGTGAGCTGCCTGTTTCTATGTAACAAGGATATGGTGAGTTTGCTCAGCAGAGCAAATCAGCACTGTCCTTCCCCCTGAATGCTTTGTCTTCTCCATACAGCCAGCTGTCTGCTATCAGGCCATCACAAAGAAGCTGAAGGTTTGTGAAGAGGTAAGTCAAATCTTGGTTTTGATGGATTTTCCATGTTGTTGTGAGGACTTGCAGTTCCTTCAGAGCTGTGCACTCTATTTTTTTTTTTTCTTTTTCCCCCTTCCCCT